GCGCATAGTTCTGTTTACAACTGCATTTTGGAAAATTCTTATGAAGTTTAAAGTATTCCTTTTCTCCGAAAAGGTTGAAAAACACTGTTTTATGTAATGAAAAAGTAATTTAAATTCTTTTATAAATATCAGAACAAGGTAAATTATTTCAGAATAACCTGGTATAATTTTTATTTTAATTTAAGGTATGTAAATTAGCGATTTATTTCTATAACTAGTTTGAAAGACACATATCTAGATTAAGTAATATAAAGATGGTACTCTGAATATAAAGTTATTAATACTTGTTTGCTGATCACAAATGCTGTAGTTAAAGTTAGCAAGATTTTTTTTTATACATTGAATTATGCAACGTGCAAAATATGCATAGTTCTGTTTCACAACTGAGTTCTGGAAGAATTTAATCGAATGTGAAGTATTACTTTTCTTCCAAAAGATTAAAAACCACTGGTATATTTAGTAAAAGAGTAATTTAAATTAATTCATATCTGAGCAAAGTAAATTACTTTTGAATAACCTGGTATCATTTTCATTGCTATGTAAACTAATAATTTGTATCTATATCTAGTATATCTAGTTTATGCGACACAAATCTGGGTAAGGTAATGTAACAAATAGTAACAAAACAATGAAAGAATTTTATAATTTCCGGAAACAAAGTTTTCTGAAACAGTGTATTATAACAATAAGAATGATTTCTTGGCGATAGAGGAACCAAAAGAACTTACGAGACATACTAAGAAGCTTAAATCATGTTCTATTTTACAAGAAGTATCACTTACGACTTAAGGGATGGTCAAAAAAAAAAGAAAAGAAAAAAAAAGGATAATTTTGAAGAGTTGAATGAACTAAAAGAAACTGGTTTCGGTCAGTAATCACGAATATATACGCGGGTCTCGTTTAATATTAGACACGTGATTTAGGCCATTTTTGTTATTTTTTATATAGAAAATATCATTAATTTAAAAAGGAAGAATGTCGAAGAGTATTTTATTTTCTTTAAGCGAAACTAAGTGGAGGAAAATTTTAAACAAATTTAAAAAAATGTCATTGAGATTATTCCTCATTTTCTGACTTCAATGCCATGTGCTATTTATTTTAAAACACATCATCATGCTTGACAACATATCTATTTTAACTGGCAATCGCTGAAATTATTGTAGAAGTAACCATTTTTTCCAAGCATTTTTTTTTCAAGAATAAACGAAAGTGTCTTACTAAAACACATTTTTTTCTCTTTCATATAACATTCTGTACTTAGAAGCCTTCTCTGAAAGTTAAATTTACGTTTAACAGTGTTATCAAATATTTAAATCACAATAGCGCAATATAATGGTTTATCCTGATTCTAGAGTTATTAATACTGGTTTTTAGTTCACAAATCTTATGATTTATAAGCCAATAACAAACCATGACCTTACTGTCATGTGGCTGTTAAATTTCAGGGAAATGCCACGTTCAGAAAAGCTACGTATCTAATATTTCTGAATTAGTTTTTAAATGATTTAGAGCTATAAATTTTCTTCAATATTTAAACGTATTTTCTTAATATTTGTTCCCTACATTAAAAATAGTTATCAGATATACACTGCGAAAACTGGCTGTAATACCTATCCGAATTGTATCTTAAAAATAACTTCACTGACTCTTTGTGTATCATATCTTACTGTAATTAGAAATTTAGTCATACTGAATATGAAAAATAGTGGGAACTACTTTACACCAAATAAACTGTGAAAACTGTGGTATAATACCTATCCGAATTATATCGTAAAAATAACTTTACTGACTCTTTATGTATCATATCTTACTGTAATGATAAATTTTAGTGTTACTGAAAATGAAAAGCGGTGGCAGCTACTTAGCACCAAATAGAGGCTTGGTGTTTCACGGCACTAATAATGTATGGTGTTTCACAACACGATTTTGGTGTAAAGTAGTTGCCACCATTTTTGGAATAGAGATACACTCAAGTTTTTTTGCAGTGTATGTTTCAATTATTCGGCGTTTTAATATTATCTCCTCTTAAAAATATATTTATACTCCGTTGCAAGTTAAGAAAATACCATTGCGGTAAAGGATTTAAGTAAACATTCGTTCCGTTTTATTTTGCTAATTATACAAATAATGTAAATCAAAGCAATATAAAAGCTTTTAAAAGTTAAACATGTCTGACAAAATTCAATTTGTGCTATCTTTTATGATAGTATATATTATAGAAATATTAAAAATTGGAAAATATTTTCGTAGTCTTACAGGATTCCTAGACTTGGCAACACATTTCGACAAATGAGGGGAACATTCATTCTTGAAAAAGAAACAACAATATGACGCTGCAAGAGCATAATTATAAGATCATAAAGCGCATCGTATGTTAACACGAGCTTAACAAATCAAATGCAAGATTTTTATTTTTATTTTATGAGAAATTTTTACTTTTTGTTTCGTCGTTGAAGAAAGTCATCTGCTAAAAACAATATTTATTATTTTTTCCATCCTTTAAATATGCTACTATTAATTTTATCACATTAACCAAATTTTATCACAGGTTATAAAATCATATTTTATTGTTATTTAACTATAATCATTGCCAAAGCCTTTCGAAAAAAGATACCGAGCCTTTTGGTGTTCTCATAGAGCCAGAAACACAGTAAATTTGACTATTTTCTGATACACAATGAAACATTCCGGACCAAATTCGGTACAAAATACTGGCACTTTGGGTGTATCATCCTTAAAATCTATTTTACCGTAAAATCCATTTTTACCTGATGATATTATACCGTAATTTTTAGAGTAATAGTAATTTAATTTCATTGATTCAGTGATTTTACTGTAATTATTACTTTAAAATTACAGTGCATCAGATTTTTTGTTCCGTAGCATGTTCCGGTAAAAATGGATCCTTCTGTAAAAAGTACCGCCACTCTGAGTGCCGATACTTTTTATTGTAATTTCATCCGGAATTTTGTACATTTGCTATACTTTTTTTTTCAGTGAAGTATATTGGATCTTCAGAAAAAATAAGATAATAGACGGCGATTTTTGAATGGGCTGACAATGAGCATCCATTATCAGATTTTTGTTTCATCTTATACTATGGACTTCAAAGCACAACTCTTAAGAATAGTATTACTTAACGCCATTTGGTAGCATTGAAAGACATAACATACTCTTATACTTCGTTTTTTTTTATTGAAAATACAAATTATTTCATTGTAACTATCATAATAACTCATATAAATAAGTTTATGTATGCATTTATAATAGTCATGTGAGATTTCATTTCAAGTTACAATATACACTGATCAAAACATTAAATGATATTGTAAGTCTTGTATAAAATAACTTTATAAGCAATTTTTGTTGTTGCATGGAATGGAAGAAGAGAGTCACAGCTGCAAATTTTTCTTATTTTCAAACTTTGCAGTATGCAAATTTTGAGTTTGACGTCGAAGACGACGCTTTAGTGGCAGCTAATTTGATTTGGCTTTCAACTTAATGCTGAACAAAGCGGAAAAGAGTAATCGGCATTCAGTAAGCGCGTTGCTTTTCAACACGCTTCTCAAGTCTCAACGAAGTCATGTAACTAAATCAGAAGCTTGGAGAGTTGTTGGCCGGTTAGAGGGGTGCTAAATACAATCAGAAGTAGCAGAAGTCATTGGAGTTTCCCAAAGTGTGATTTCCAGGATCTGGAACCGTTTTTTGGAGACTGAAAATGCAGGCTGAAGATCAGGACAAAGGCGTAGACGTGCAACAGCGCCCAATGAAGACCATTATTTTACGCTAACGGCTCGGAAACTCTGAAATATGAACGCCACTCTTCTTCAACTACACCTTCACTCGGCTGCTGGTACCACAGTTCCGGCCATAAACTGTCCGAAACCACCTTCACGCTCTAGGTCTGCCTCCTCGCCGACCAATGGTGTGGCAAGGCACAATCGCATTCGCAGGGAGTGGGCAACAGGGAATGTAAACTGGAGGAGAAATGAATTTCGCAATCTTTTCTCTGGCAAGCCTTTTTTCTGTTCATTCTGATAATAGGCGTATTTTCATTAGGAGGGAACGTGGCACTAGAAACAATCCTGCTTTCGTGCACGAAAGTGTAAGATTTAGCGGTGGGGAAGTGATGGTCTATGCATGCTGGCATCTCCATTGATGGGCGCACCGATCTCCATATCATTCGAAATGGAGCTCTGACCGGTCACCGATATAGGGATGAGATCCTGAGACCTATTGTAGTCCTTTACGCTGCAGCAATTGGAGATAATTTCGTGTTAATGAACTGCAATTGCAAGCCACATCGTGCTAACTTGGTGAATGATTTCCTTTTGGATGAAGGAATCATACGAATGTATTGGCTAGCGTGTGTTTTTCGGACGAATTGCTGGACGCCTATAGTGGGACAGAATACCCCAGCCCCTCATTAATAAGCTCGTTGACTCGATGCCTCAAAGGTGTTCAAGGCTGCTGGGAGTCCGGGGAAACCATACCCCCTACTAAAAACGATTTTCTTTTAAGGAAGCACCTTTTTTAAAAAAATTTGTTTTTCTCACATGAACAAATTGTGTTTTTTTCCTTTTGTACCTAAACACTCAATAAAACTGATTTTTCTTTCTTCCAAACAAATGTAATTTTTATCTCATATAGCCTACTACGTCTGTCGATAATGTATCAATCATTTAACTTCCAGGTGCAAAATCAATCCACAACCTCAACATCCTTTAATTGTTTTGAGCAGCATATTAAAGGAGTTATAACAGTCAAGTCATTTTTATTTATAAACATAACCAAGTTATTTGTTTAAAAATTTATTATTCATAATCATTATTTGATTTATTTCAATCTACTGTACGCTCAGCGAAATTAAGGTTTAAAAAATTAAGTAAGATCTTCATCTGAAGACCTTTTAAAATAGATTTTTACCATAAATTCTTGAGTGCATAAGCCAACACATTTAAAATAAATTTATGTACCACTTAAGTAAAAGCTTCAAAATTTCGAGGCTACAGATTTTAGAAATTATTTCAGAAACAATTGAATTTAGATTGTAACTACATAAAACTGAAAAGAAGAATTAAAACGCAGTGTACCACATAAATGGAACTGCAAAAACCGCATTTTGCAAAGCATACAGAAAATTTAAACTTATCATGTTAATAACAGCTGGCCAAGCGTGATCTATAAATCCTTTTTCCAATACATCTAAGTATTTGTTCAAAGGAGAACCTAAGCCAGTAAATTTTGGCTGAATCTGACCAATTTTTAAAAATGATACTGATCTTAAATTATTAACATTTATCGGATAGTTGGCAATTATAACTGACATGAGAGTGGACGTTAAATTTGCTCTGGCAGTAATTGAAACTGTTGGAAGCTTGCCGTACTTAAGCTTACCTTTAAAATAGATTTTTAAATCATCTAAACCTAGAGAACAATTAATAAAAGGCATGTTCCAATCTAAAAATGGTCCTGAACAGTCTCCTTTTCTTCGAGCATTTCCTAATCCTCCTAGTTGACCATCGTAGAAATTTGCAATACCATGTACTCTTCCAATTAGTTTTATTCTGTCGTCGAAATCAGTATCAAAATCGGGTAGGAAAACCGGATCGAGACCTAAAGATCCCAGTTCCATTTGCAAGGCTGTATTTAACACAGTATCAAAGTATTCATTAACAAAGTTGTTGCCATTAGAATTAGCTAAAATAAAAATAAGATCATTAAGATGAAGAAATATTAGCTTTTCTAAATGATGTCTGATTTTAAATATTTTCACACTAATTTGTCTTTAACCCGATGCTCCGTAAAGAGTTCCCTTCCCACGTCTAAATTCTTAATGGTGCCATCAAAAGATTCTGATGGTTTACGTTGGTTTCAGTGCGATTCATAATAGTCCAACAGCATTTGATGGTCACCATCATCCAACATTTTCCATTATGCGTTCATGGTTTTTTATATGCCAACAAACATCCATCATTCCATGATGGAAAATGCTACTTTAATACTATGATGGTTAACCGTCATTAAGAGAAGTTTGATTCCAACGGACCAACAATCCATGATGATCCGTGATGGTCCATGATGGTTCCAACTAAATGTATTTCTATTATGATTTAATGAGAATTATTGTTGGTTCAGCTGTATACCATCAAAAGAATTTGCTTTTTTATGTTGGCCCATCAAAAATCAGTTCAAATTCCTACATTGGGTTGATTATTACTTATGTTGGTTACCATCAAGATTATGCTGGTCCATCAATGGATAACCATCAAAAATTTTGGCTTTGGTTACTATATATTTTTCGAAATTTTTTCAAAAATAAAGATATTAAATTAGTTACTTAGGGGGTCGCAAATTCCTATTTAATCAAGGAAAAGCTAAAAATGCTATCAAAATCTGTCGAACCACAATTAAAGAAGGTGGCTACACGAAGGACTAAAACTTGTTAAGTTGCCAAAAATCAGAGGGGAAAGGGAAGAAAAAAATACTGGTAACAACTAGAAGTTTCAATTGATAATGAAACATATTTTGATGTTCTGTAGACTCGCCTTCCAAAACTGTGATTTTCCAGGTTTTGATAGCACTTTTGCTTTTTCCTCGCGTTAGTGATAGTTTGTAACTTCCAATGAATTTACCTCTGTGTCTTCCTTTTTGCAAGAAATCTAAAAATGTATGATTAGGGTGGTTTTTACGGGGTACCCTGCGTAAATACTTTAATTTTTCAAGTTTTTCGTCTGAAAAGGGTGACCTCAAATATGCTAATTACCAAGTGCAGATGATATTTTAAGTTATGAAATCAAACACAAAAATGTACTTTCTCTGAATAAACATACCTCTTTTTGACGGATTCGGATATCTGGGTTCCAAAATATAAGGGGTAGTCGCAATCTGGGAAATATGTATATTGAAATTTGTAAAATTTGTAATTGAATTTCAAAACTTTCAGATGCTTAAAATTCAATTTCTCAGGAACAATTCGACCGATTTTGCTCAAATTTTGTATTTTGCTACATAAAACTATATTCTTTAAAATTAAAAATTCTAAAAATTGTATACCTTACAATTCAAAATTTTTCGACCAGAAAATTCGATTTTTTTAATTTTAAATAAAATAATAAATATTTACTAAGTTATTTTCTGCATGGAATTATGTTTGAAAAAACGAATTTTATAACTGAGTATAAAAATTTTTCAGATTGCTTAAAAAGTGAAATTAACATTAAGGGATTCAAACTTTTAAGCGCTCTCCTGACCAAACAATTGGGACCATATTTAACGGATTGCGGCTAGCTCTTATATTTTGGAGATCAGAAATCTACATCCGTCAAATGAAAGGTATGTTTGTTCAGAAAAAGTACGTTTTTGTGTCTAACTTCGTAACTTAAAATATCGTCTGCACTTATTATTTAGCAAATTTGAGGTCACCCTCTCGATCCATTAAGAATTGAGTCCAAGAACGTGAAAATCCAAACATTAGATCCGTTTTTATTTTGGCGTACTGTACCTTATACATTTATGCATAATTTTTATTTTAGATATGACCAGAAATGTTTTTTTTTTTCAAATTTTCTCTAACTTAATATTTTTTTTAAAACAAAAAAGAAAGGAAATTCTTATTAAGATGTTAAATATTATTGTTTATCAAATGAATCCATGTTTTTCAGGTTTCTTCTAAAAATAATTTAACAGGTTTATCATTCTGGAAAAACATGCAATTTTTTGAACTTACAATAAGAATTTAAGAATTAGTAAGTCTTGAATAAATATCAATATAATAGTTTAATTTGCTGTTTTCTTAAATGAACGGCCGCTCAAGTTAATAAAATATGTGGTGACTTAAATGTTTCTAACATCCTAATTTGTACTGCGTTCAATACAAAGTGGTTCCACGGTTTTGACCGACATGTGATACTGACATTCTTAACACATTTGACCGGCATTCTTAATACTGAATTTCTATAGATAAAAATAATTTTATTCATATTCAGAAAATACTTGCATAAAATTATAATTTCTAAGTGTACTTTTTCTGTGGAATCACTCTACTTAATTAGCGCTACGAAATTTGCATTTTTATAATACTAATCCAACAAAAACAAAATACTGACTCAATAATATATACTTACCAAAACCGTAGACTGACATTAAAAGAATAAATAAAGTATTTGTTCTTCCTAGAAATAAAAATATAAAATTTTTTAATATAGGTTTGAATACAAAATAGGGAATTATAATATTGTGTATACATTGCGATGCAAATGTAAAAGCTTGATTAGTGATTAAAAAAAGTGATTTGAGAAAATTAATTATGTTTCTGAAATCACCTTACAATTAGATTTACTTCATTTCTCTGTTTGTTCCTTAATATATACTTTTCAGTAGTGTGTGTATTTAAGAATAAATAAGCAGTAACTATGCTTAAAACAATCTGCTAAAATTTTTAAGGAATATTTTTTGCTTATATAATTAATTTTATTTCAAAACTTACCTTTCATACTATATATAAAAATATAAAATTTTTTAATGTAAGTTTGAATACATAATAGGGAATTATAATATTGTGTATACATTCCGATGCAAATGTAAAAGCTTGATCAGTGATTAAAAAAAGTGATTTGAAAATATTAATTATGTTTCTGAAATCATCTTACAATTAAATTTACTTCATTTCTCTGTTCGTTCCTTAATATATATTTTTCAGTAGTGTGTGTATTTAAGAATAAATAAACAGTAACTATGTTTAACGCAATCTGTTAAAATTTTTAAGGAATACCTTTTGCTTATATAATTAATTTTATTTCAAAACTTACCTTTCATACTTCCGAAGAGAAAAATAGAAGAATGGATCTTCAGAAAATTAACAATCTATCTGTTAAATGAAAAGTTTGGACCTCTTTGTTTTATACTGAAATAAGATATTCATAATTCAAGTACAGTTAAGTCGTGAACCACTAAAATTTATGTTTCGTCTTTTATGCAAAGATAATAATAAAATCTCAAAGCGCACCAAAAATGTTTTTCCAAGGTTGGATTTCAAGAATCGTTGCATCGAACTAAGATGTAAAAAAATAAAAACACACAGTAAAAAACCTTTCTTTTGTTTATATTCCAAGAAATGAATTAAAATATAATACAGTACGTCATAATTAATGGGATAACTGTTTCTCATTTTTTCAATAAACTGAAAATATTGTATTTTCATTTCATTGATATTTGATTTTGCGTTATATTTTGTAGTCGAAGAACATGTGTTTGAATTATTTTATTGCGACGCTGTTGATCAATCTGAAGTCTAAAGGATGGAAAACTAATGTAATAATTATAACAATTAGCTTTCTTGCATCTAAATTCGTTTAATAATAAGTTGTACTGAAACTAAAATTTTTGCAGAGTAGTCACCTATTTTTTTTATTTTTTAATTCATTTTTGTTTGTTTACTGACAAGACATATTTTCATATTTTATGGCAACACATATTTTAAAATTTTATTCCATTAAAGTAAATATTTGTCTTAACAATATTTATTCTGCAACTAGTTAATATTTAATAGATAAATACACCTTAAATAATAATTAATGAAATAATTCTCATTTTTTCAAAAAACTGGATATATTGTATTTTTCTTTCATTGATATTTGATGTTACGTTATTTTTTGTAGTCAAAGAACATGCGTTTAAATTATTTGATTGTGACGTTGTTGATCAATCTAAAGTCAAAATGAAATAAAACAATTCTAATAATTATGACAATTAGCATTCTTGCATCTAAATTCGCTTAATAATTTAGTACTGAAACTAAACTCTTTACAGTGTAGTCACATTTTTTAATTATTTAATTCATTTTTGTTTGCTTACTGGCAACACATATTTTCATATTTTATGGCAACAAATATTTTCATATTTCATGGCTACACATGTTTTCATATTTTATGGCAACACTTATTTTATAATTTAATCTCATTAAAGTAAGTATTTGTCTCTAAGTAACAATATTTATTCTGCAACTAATTAATATTTAATAGTCAAAAACACTTTAAATATAAAAACACATTTATTTCATTGCTTTATTTTATTTCATTTCATTGCTTTATTTTATTTAATTGAACAAAAAGTCCTTGAATAATTTCAAAATTAATTTAAGCTTGTAAGATAACGAGAAACAATATTTCAATTTTTTGATAAGAAATAACACACTTCATTTGCAACACAAAGAGAATGCACATTATTTTTTATTTCCGTAGAAAATGAAATGCTCCCGTTCTTTAGCACAAGTTTCACAAGCACTGTAAGGAGAACTAAAACTTCATATCTGAGGTACTAAGTATATATGAGGTCAACCTTTTTAATGTGGTTTTATTATTTACTTTAAATTTCTTTTCTGATGTACATTAACTATACTTTTTCCATTATGTTTGCTGTCAATCAATATTTTTCTCTTCTAAATTTGCTTGACGGGTTAAAAAGCATTTGCACATATTTTTTAAAGTTTCACATACGTCCCTAAAAGAAAGAAATCTAATAAATACCAAAGGCATGTGCACAACTTTTTTTTTCGAGATTTTTCAGAAGTATTTAAATCCCTATAGCCTCATAATCCCTCAAAAATCATTATAAATAGCAACTTAAGTTGGTACCTATATTTCCATGTATTTTGTTCAATTAAAGTAATTAAATTTTAAGATTCGACATATTCTCTTCAGGAATTTATTTACTACATTTTTACCTTATTTTTATCACAATTTACAAAATTATATGTATTGGAACTGGATTTCATATTTTATATTAGATTGTTTTAAGAAATTAATATTTTTAAGTTACTAATAATAATTCGATAATTGTTTAATCTGCAATAAAAGTTGAAATTTATTGTCTTTTTTTAATAAATAAAACCTCCAGTCACTTGCTCAAATCGAGCATATTTTTATTATTTATATTGTTTAAAATAGAAAAAAAACAGTTAATTGGAACTAAATTAATTTTTTTAACGAAAAGTTAAATGATATTTTATATAATTATTGATCAGTGAACAATAGTTTTCATTTAAGAAAAATGTTGTTAAAAATAAGATACTTACGCTGCGTGAAAATGTTGGTATTTAAATAAGTAATATGTTAAATAAAAGTGCAAATTTGACGTGTTATAATTGATTTAATATTATATTAAAATTGCATAAACACTATAAAAAGAAGAAAATAACACGAGGAGGAAAACAAATAAGATATTTTATAAATATGTTTCAAAATTCGTTCCAAAATGGACTATTTTTAAACGCTTAAAAATTGGCTCGTAAAAATGATAAACTAAAAAATGTGCTCATTTAAACTCGTAAAAATATGGAAATTAAAATTTAATGGTTGAAGGCATTATTTTTGTCAAATTAGGTAAATGCTACTAAAACAAAATGCAATGGTTCAATATTAGAGTTTAAATTTAAAAAGAGAATGATTTAAAATTAAAGAATGAGACAATGATATTTTTACAGCAAAAAAGCAATTTTTAATTTCATCTTAAAAAAATTACAGTTAAAGTAATAAACTATACAAACAATGTACAAGAGCAATAAAGCAAAACAGTTTTTCACAATGTTAAATCTTTATTCGTAAAGGTATACCTGAGAATCCAACAAATAATCATGCTCGTATAACATTAATTTGGCATTGGTACTGAGGCCACAGCTCTACTCATTGCGTATTGAAATCTTTGACTAACGGAATTAAAAACCTGAGCTTCAACGTGAGATTTATAGCCATCTTCTAAAAACTTTGTAAACTTGTTCAGTGGACCTAATCCAGTAAATGTGACTTTCATGAATCCAATTTGTTGGAAAAGAAAATTTTTCAGGGTTGGATATCCACCTTGGCTGGTCACTTCAATAAAAATAACTGTGTTTGTAACGTCACCCTTTCCTTTGATGTTAACTTTTGGTACTTTACCATACTTAAGTTTCCCTTCATAATTTATATGCAAAGTATTAAATGTAATTGTGCAATTGATACTTTTAGCACCAAAGCTATAATAAGGTCCTTGGCATTCTGAAAAACGGCGAGCTTGAGAAAGACCACTAAGTGTACCTTTGGAATATTCTGCCTTGCCTTTTACTTTTCCAATTATTGCAACTTTGTCCTGGAATTCAGTTTGAAAGTCATTTAGTACAGCAGGATCAAGACTTGCAGATCTAATTTCATTTCTCAGAGCTACATTCAAAACGCTATCGATGTACTGATTAGCAATGGGTGATCCATACGTCAAACCTGAAAAGAATAAGTGCTTAATTTAATATGCATATTTGACCAATAAAATTAAAGCTTAAATATCTTTTTAATCAAAAACAGTTCATAATTAAGATTTTTTTTATGCATTTCTGCTACTTTTTTGAAGTAAAGAATATTTTAAAGGTTGGTTTTGGATGATAAAAAAAACTTCTTAATCGAGACTTTAATAATTGCAAAAGTTAGTTAAATCGATTGTAATTTTACTCTCTTTAATGTTACGAAAATACTCATTATTTTACAAAGATTTTCATTATGATTATTTGCAAGATTTCTTTAGTTTTAATTATTAGTTCTAAGTTCATGTTCTGTTCCAGGAAATATCAACTTTTAAGATCAAATTCTGGTCAAGATTTCAAAAACTAAGTCAACTTAAAAATTCTTTTTAGAGATATAAAGGAAGAACTTTATTAAACAATTTTTTTTTTCATTTTACTAGCCAGATTATATTATAATTTTCATTTCAATACTACTAATAATTCAAACAGACATGAGTACTTCACTTCTCGAACTTCTCGATCTCTTAAACGTAAGTGAAACAGAAAAAAAAGAAAAATGATATACAAAATAATTCTGTTTAAAGAACCCTAAATTTAAATTTGGTTTTAAAGAGAAATACGGATAACTTGACAACTCTGCACTTGACAACTCTGAATCTTATTTCTTTTAAACACCATGTAATATTCGTATTTATTTTTCCAATAATTTTATAAGTTTATCCCCCCCCCCCCAAAAAAAAGCAACTAACATTATTTGGGAAAAGAAATTATAATCATTTTTATTGATTTGTAAGAAGTGAAACTATGAAGGTTCTGAGGAATCAACCAAATAATCGATTGATATCTAATAAAAAAATCGATACCCTCTAATTTATAAGTAATATAGCAATTCTAGAGAAGCAAAAATTGCAAAACCCCTGAACATTAATTTTTGCATCTTGCTCACCAAAACTCCAAGCCTTAAATAGCGATAGAAGAAAGTCATTCTTGTTTTCTGAAAGAAATGCTCAATTTTCTTCTTGCCCAATTTTTCTTGGCCATTAGAAAATATGCGAGCTTTGCCTGTTTCGGATTCAAACTAGAAAACTTACCAAAATATTGGTGACCAAGTACTATCCTTAGTGATATTCAAAAGCAAGTATTCCGATAATTGAATAGTGCAATTTAGTTTAATTCATATAAAAATTAGTAAAATTAATGAGTTTTAGAAGTATTAACTCCAACTTAGACCGTAGATCCACAAGGGAAAATTGTTAAAATTCATTGTCACGACAAAGCGAATACAAGCATTAGTAAAGGAGCCAAAATGTTTTGAGAAATAGTTTAAAGGTTATAGAGTTTAAACGAAAGATAGACTTCTATTATTTGTAACTCAAACATTGTTTTTTTCTTTCTTTCAAAAGAATAATATTATGTTATAATCAAATAATTACTAAAGACATTATTTGAGGAATCTTCGCTGCTGATGAATTAACATCACTATAATTTCATAAATTTTAATTAGTACTATAGCTAGAATTATAAAATTATTTTACCATCATTTTAACAACTTTATTATATTATAGCTTACTAAATTACCGATAAGTAATATTATTAATTTTTTAATGCTGTGTCAAACCAGCTTTAACATTTATCATACAGTAAAAGTTTGTGAAAAAATTCAAGCCTTTTCTGAGAAAAAATATAATATAATATTATATAATATAATATAATATAAAATAAAATAGTCAATTCGTGTCATTTTCTCCAAGAAACAGTCATTGTAAAATACGTATAGAACCCGATTTAAATAAGTTTATTTTAAAATGTATCGTTNATAATATAATATAATATAATATAATATAATATAATATAATATAATATAATATTATATTACATAATGTAATGATTTAAATTGAGAAAATAAAAAAACACTTACCTACGGTGAAGAGAAGTGCAAAAACTGCAGAAAACATCATTAACTCTTGTATTCTTCTTAAACTAGTTAATAAATAAATTAATTAATTAAAATTTGCTTCAAATTTGTTAAAAGGATAGAAAACTTGAAATTTTTACATGAGATTATGTTCAAGTATTTCTCCTGTCTCTAAGGATTGCACAAGTGATTTTCGCTTTTAACTCTTTCAAGTTTAAGTAGGAAACATCAAATAAATATGAAAAAACCCAAGTCAATTTTTATATTCAGGTAAAAAAAAATAGGATAACAGGTGGTCAGATAATGCTGTATTGAACTTCAATTGTAAAGCTTAAGAATCCAGATGTTATCCAAAAAAAAAAAATCGCAATTTGCAGTCACATAAACACGCTATCTTTCCGATTGCGAAATGATTCAAACAATTGTGAAGAAAATAACACAGACTTAACAGATTTTTGTTTCTTTTAGGTTTTAGAAAAAATGCTTTTAGTCACTGGATCAACTTAAACTGTAAGCGTTAGTGAAATTAAATATATATATACATTTCATCGTCGAAGAAACATTTTTCTTACTTACTCAACTTACTATCTTAATTAATAAATTCTTATATATACAAGATTTTTATAATATATTTTTATTGCAAATTTTACCTAATATATACTATATATTAATTTAATAAACACATGACTGTCATAAATGCATATATAAACATATTTATATGAATCATTTTAAGTTGCAATTGAGAGAAATTGTTTTATTCTATGGCATAAAAATATTTTAATACATGATTTAACTCATATATATTTTATGTCTAAGAAGATATAAAAACTTAAATGTTCAGTACTCCTTTCCCTAAGAAAAATGGAACCCCTTATTAAATTTTGAGCTTATAATCGAACAACCATATAACAGGAAATATTAATGTTTTAAAGGATAGACTTAAAATGACATAAATAATTAGTGCAGACTAAATTTATTTAAGAAATCGGTCACAAAAACGTACTTCCCCTGAATAATTAATAATATGACTTTTTTTAATCTGTTCGGATAATGATGTTAAAAAACATACCGTCAATAAAGGGGGAGCGGTTGTTGCAACCTAGAAAATAATAGTTTAATCAAACGGTCGAGAGTTTTGCCCAAGTAATGTTAATTCTATATTTATACTTTTTTCTTGTTTCACTATATTTATGGCATTTATTAGGACAATTTCAAAAAAAAAATAGCGCAATTGTAAAAAAATTTTAAGCAGAAATAAATTTAAGCAAAATATAATTTTTTTGGATTATTTTTTTATTAATCAATTATTATAATAATTATTAAATTTTTTTATAATTTAAGTTATTGTGACAACAAAGCAATTTTGAAAGGTAAATTATACAAATTTTTGCACCATTTTAAATTATGTAATTTTAAACGACAAAATGGTCTCCAATGTTCAGTATTGGAATTTATCAATAACATTGAGTGATTTGTAAACTCATGTAAGAATTCCTTGTATTTTAAAGCATAATTTTGAAACTGAATCCAAAATATATTAGTTTATATTTCAAGGTCATGACTTCAGTTTAAATATTTTCTGATTTGCACATTTTATCAAAAAAAAATTTGCTTTTATAAGCAAATATTAAAACGCAAAAATTGACAAAATAATCGAAAAAGTCTTAAAACTGTATAAATTTCAGCAATTTTACAATAAATTATTCATTTCAAAAATTGAGCAAGACTCAATTTCTTTTTCATAAAATTCAATAAATTTAGTTATTAGTATGTCACATTTTATAGAATTGTTTTGTTATTTGTTTATTTTAATGATTAAAATACATCATCAAATGAAAGAGAGAAATCGTATAAGTCAGTGAAATTGTTTAATATGTTGCATAGAATTCTTTCAAGTTTTAAATTTTTTCGAATTTTTACATTTTAACGAGTTGCAAAATTGTAAAAATATGTATGATTTTAAGCTCTAATATTGTTCAAAAATTTTTTTGTGAAATTTAACTCTTTGATCTTGTTATTTTTTTCTCTTGATTCTCTTAATTTAACTCTTTGATCTTGTTATCTCAGAAAATGCCTAAACCATCAATATAAACCAATTTTTCATTAACTTAAAAAATAAGTTAGGGAGAGGAAATATATAAATATATTCTGCATAGCGAAAATTAACTCAATAACCAATAACTTAATTTTGAATCACGCTTATGCTGGCTGATATTTGCTTAAGTACTATTTAAATATATATTTAAGATACTAATATCTATTCATTTAATTATAATATTATCCGTATTATTATGTCACTCTTTTGTAATAAATTTGAAAAATATTTTAATGTTTTACAATATGAGACAGGTACTAAGGTAAATTGAACTTACTTGACTTGTATGATTGTTCCAGCTCTGGAATAAAGTATGCATTTGTGTAAGCTTTTATTTCAAACATTTTTTTACTTATCAAATATTTGACGTATTTTCCGAGATAATAATGTAAACTGATTACACCTTATTTCAAGAAGCTCTTACCTCTTAAAATATCATTTTGAGTTCCTAGATAAGTTGAATAATAAAAAACGTAAATACATAAAAGCTTTTTCAACTGAAATGGTGCAATAGTTGCTATCATTTTTAGTGTTTCGATATTCAATTTATTGACATTCTGTGAATTTTAAATGAGTCATAATTATTTTTATCTTACTTTTAAAATTAAAGGATCATTTCTTCTAGAAACTTTATAATGTCGTATAGATAAAGTAATTTTTATCCAAACAACCAAGGAGTTAAAATATTTTGTATGATTGATTAGCAACACCTAAGCAAAAATTATTGAAGTACTTCATTTTCTCATTAGTTTTATGCCAAATTTTCCTCCACCACATAAATAATATTTTAAATAGATAACATATTAGGCTAACTGAAATTCCCAATTAGCGAGTCCCCAATTTTCTAATTTGCGACAAATGCCCTCATAATCGGGAAATACTCCAACTGAATTGTGCATAATACTAACTATTGATTAATATGATTAAATGAAATTACTTAGTTTCAGTAACTAGTATAAAGAACCAATAATAAATATAATGACTTATTAGAAAGCGTAATTCAAGAAGAAAACATATATTAAAACGTAAGCCAGACTTATTATATTTTAAAATCGTCGTTGAACAGTCGGTCCAATTTTTGGTTTTACGACTACTAATGTTCAACTATGACGCCTTGTAATTTTGAACCCAATCCAGAAGACAAGGGAACTCCTGGATCAAGTTTTGGGAGAAATTTGCCTTCGCGGAGGACTTTTTGATGGAACTAGCTTGCATTTGCCTTACATGGAGAGGAAGACCGCGAGAAACACCCAAGGCTAGTCTGACTGCAAGGGGACTCTATCCCCATGATCCGTCTACCACTGAGGATATTTCACGTCAGCACTGTGGTCGGTGCAAGCCAGTTGCAGAATTCATATCGACCAGCCATGTCGGGATTCTAACCAGGTTCACCTCATTGGAAGGCGAAAGCTCTATCCCAGGGGTTTCCAACTTACATGAGGCCGGAGGCAACAATTAAAAACATGAGTCAAATGGCGGACCGCAACTTTAATAAGATTTTATATAGAAGTATCTTATGTTTGAAGGAACATTAAATATTACTGCCAGATTTTTATCAAGTTGTACAAAACAAAAGTATTAAATTACAAATTAAAATAAGAAGTAGATTTTTAAAAATATTTAATTGCATATTAAAAAATTCTGACTACAATAACTTTAAAGTGCACCTATGTATTAAACAATTAATGTGCAGATGTCAAAATAGTAAGATATGAAACTTTAAAAAGGTTGGTATTAAAACTTACATAGTAGCACACAAAATGTTCAATGAGAGAATTGAGATTTATCTGCTGCAACCATCAGAGAATAGATATTTACATTTTAAAATTTAAATTTACAGATACAAATAATTTCGTCCAAAATGAGTGGTTTCAAAAAGTGAAATCGGAGAATTTCTTCAAGAAAATTTCTGATACGCACATGCTAAATTATATTCACAAAATACAAAAAAAAAGAAGAAAAAAAAGAACGAAATAAAAAGAGCAACAATACCCGATTATTTTTTTATTTGAATAAATATTTTCTTGGATGCAAAAACCTGAGAAGTAAATGTTTTGCACCGTTGGTATGTTAAATTTACAGAAACGAAGAAATTAGGTTTTCTTTTTAAAGTGAAAAGTATTTTAAACCCATATAGATTTTTTACGAAAATTGTCCCCCAAAAAATGACAACTAATATATTTTAGTTCGTGGGCCACAAAAAAAAAAGGATTCGCAGGCCACCAATTGGTAACCACTGTTCTATCCCATGAGCCATCGCGGTTCAGTCAGACTTATTAGTCATTGGGAATCAAAACCAGTCGTTATAGTAAATTTTATAAAGTTGCGAACATTTTATCTCATAACCCACTGTTTTGTTAATTCGCTTAACAACCTGTTACCATTTATTGTAATCAAATTTATAGTATGAACCATTCAGGACTTTGATCAAATATACGTATTCACGTGATTTTTCCATTCACGTCTATGGTATCAAATATGAAACGAGCATTTTTGATTCTAACAGCCCAAAACCACACGAACCTGATGTTATTTGGTAATCTCGTATTACATTTCATATTAGTACGTATCATAGTACATATACGTATTCTTTATTACGTATACTTTCAGAGCTTGCAGGCCTGAGAAAGCGCTTCTTTTTCCTTTCATCAGCCCGGAAGGGGTAAATCAAAAACAGTATATATATTTCATTTAAATATTTAGTTGTATCAGCTCATTTTTTAAATTTTCGTTATGTTTTATATTATTTGATGCAAAATTATTCTAAATCTATCTAATTTTTTCACTATTAAATTGGTTTAAACATTTCACAAACACTGAGAAAAATCAGTATGGTCAACACTACTAGAATATGGTAAAATTTATCGTGTTTTCTGTCGCTAAGGAAACATAAAACAGTACGATGATTTTTTTCAATACTTTGATCATGACTTATGGTAAAATTACAAATAAAATATGGTTTTATTACCATGCTGTTTGGTTGTAAATTTGATAGATAAAGTCAGATAATTTTTCAAAACAAAAATCAATAATTTTAACAGTTTTAGTATAATTTTAAGTAGCGCGAAATGTTCAGTTTAATAACCTCTATTTTATTTAATAAACGCTTAAATTAGTTCTCTGTCAGTAATTATTTTTTTGTTTCTATGTAAACTATAAGCTAGCATTTGCCAACGACCTTTAAAACTATAGAAAAAAAAGTGCATTTGTAAATATTCAAATGACTGAACAAGACTGAACTGAATCAGTAATTTAACTGTTACGTATCAGGCTGTCCTACCATACCAAAGCTATAGCTTAAAGGTAGCGGGTTTGAATCACGCTGCAAACTTATATTTATTTATTTATTTATATTTATATATATTTATATGTATTCATTAATACTTATTTATTTAAATTTTATTATTTATTGTTACACATACCAATGCAGATTTGTGTACTCATTGCAAAGTTCAGCTGATAAGCCCTTGTAAAATTTAACAACAATAACACAAAGATACATCCTTGTCAAAAAGATACATCAAGACTCATTAAAGGATTCAAAATCGTAAATTCCACGCTACAATGAATGCATTTTGTAATGTCCTTCTTTAAATTGTTCTACCAGTTCTTCAACTTGACTCATAAATGTGTGTGTAATGAGCTCACTGTGTAATGAGCAGAAAAACCAGGATATATATTCACCATATCTCTGAAATCTGGAAGAACTTAAGCAAATTAAAACTTTTTGCACATAATTATAAAAAGTTTTTGTTCAAAGATAATTCCAAACAAAAAGTAATTTGTAATAATAATGAATTATTTTAATTGCTTAATTTAAAGATAAGTAAAGATATACTTGAATTAGAAGGTATATATATTTTTAATTTATTTTAAAGGACAAACTGCAAAATATAAACAATCTGAACCATCATAAAAATTTTGTATTTAATCATTTGAAACTCAAAGACGAAAATAATTTAAGCTTTGTTAACCTTACAATTCAATTTTTCGAATATTTTATTTTTCGAATTAAATAACAAAAGATAATTATTAGTATTTTTTTATTGAATGATCTATGGTCAAACGAATTTTATAATTAGGAGTAAAAAGGTTGAATGCTTTTAGAGATATGGCAAAATATGCCAATAGTAGTATTTAAGGGGTCCAAACTCTTGACGCTCCTGATTAACCTATATTGAACATATTTTCCAGAGTGCGGCTACCCCCACCCTATATTTTGAAGGTCAAGAATCCAAATCTCATATCTGATTTTGTGCCTAAAATTATTGCCTGTATAAGCAACTTAACGTATTTAAGATTTATAATTTTATAATCGTCATTGAACAGCCGACCCAATTTCTTGGGTTTACGACTACTAATGTTCAACTCCGTAGCCTTGTAATTTTGAACCCGGTACAGAAGACAAGGGAACTCCTGTATCAAATATTCGGAAAAACTTGCCTTCATGGAGGACTTTTTGATGGAACTAACTCGCATTTGCGTTACACGGAGAGGAAGACCCCGAGATCCGCCCACGGTTAGCCTGACAGCAAAGGAACTTTAACCCATGATCCGTCTACCACTCAGAATATTTCACATCAGCACTGTAGTTGGTGCAAGGTGGATGCGAATTCGTGACAACCAGCCATCTCCAGGATTCGAACCTCATTGGAAGGTGAACACTCTATCCCCTGAGCTATTGCGGCTCACGTATTTAAGATTAGATCTTTGAACCATTAAGATTGCATCTTACCATATGAATATTCAAACATTACAACAAAAATCATTCAGTTGCACTATTTTTTTCGCACTGTACGTGTACATTTTATTTAGCAAGGAAAAAAACTGGATAAATGGTTATATTGGCTTAACTTTGTGATGGGAAAAATAGTGGCCTCAGACATTCTGGAGGAATTTATTAAACAAATGTTACTGCACTGTAAAACTTTTTTATACACTTTTCAAGCTTTTGCAACTTAAACCATATTAGTGTTGTGTAATTATTTCCTATTTGACATAACTTTATTAGTAAGATCTTGATTTCCTATTTTTATTTTAGAACACATGCTAAAAAAAACAACAACAACATGCAATTTACCAAATCACATATTATTTTCACAAGGTCTTTGTTTTTTTATTCACTTTACGATTAACTTATGAAATCTAAAAATTATTTTACAAAAAACAAAATATATAATACCGTCCTGAATTTTTTTAAGGTTTATTTGATACTCAAAAACATGTTTACTTGCCATCAATAATGAAATTCATCTTTCTAGAAAGATAACAGACATTACATTCTTTGCTCTCAATAACATCTGTTTCATATCATGTTTGGAAGATTTTAAAAAACATTTTATCTTTAAAAAGTAATATCGATTTACTATCTATATTTAAAGATTTGGAATAAGAAAAAAATCATTTTGAGGACCCTTATAGTACTTTTTAGATAAGAAGGAAATAGATTTAAGGTGTTACAATAAATTGCAATAATCGAAGACTTATATTTCGCCCAAAATGAGCAAAACTAACCTTGGTTAACCAGATTTCTTTCTGTCATTTTCATTCAACTTTAAACATATTTAATTGGTAATCAATAAGACTCAGTGCTCCATTCAATTTTTAATTATTAGCAAATATAATGATATAATTCTTGGAACTTTATAATAAAAAAATCAATCCTCAGCATTATAAGATCTCAAAATTCTTGTAAAATGTAAGCATGTTTTTTTTTACTTAAATATTACTTATTGCTAATATTTCTCAAGTCGGTTGAAGTTACACTTTTCCAATTTTTTTCTCAGAAAGTCTCAATTTTTGTTCATTTATCATTAAGATATTTATTTCGCAATGCAAATCTTTAAGATTAAAATATTTCTTTTTTTAAATTATTCATCAAATTAGAATAAAATCACGTAAAAAATCATTAAAACTTAAAATTAAAAACTTAATTTTATAAATAAAGTTGTTAGTATAAAAAATATTTTTAAAATAGCTAAAAATATTATAATCATATTTAAAAAATATTTTTTAAAAATACATTATTTTTATGATATTTAAAGAATATTTTTAAGAAATACATTATTTTTATGATATTTAAAGAATATGTATTCAGTTTTTTTTTAATTTTTAAAAATCACTTAAAGAAATTAAATCTATGGAAAATTATGGTTTCTATAAAAGTTTAAAGTTGATCCCTCTCTGTAATCTTCTAACCCAATATTATGCATTGCAGATCTCTGCCAGCCATGGACCACAACTTTATTAAAAGAAATAAGATAAAGTATTAAAAATCACATTTAATTGAAAACATTAAAAAGACGGAGATAGCATAACATAGGTTATTCATTAGATTATTTGACTTTTCTACTCATTTCTCCTTATTAATTTATTTTTCTTACAACGATTAAACTATTAAAGCCGTGCAATTAGATATTTTGAAAGCAATAAATTTATAAATTATAGTAGTATTTAAGGGGTCCANTATATATATATCATTGTATATTAAGCTGCATACATATATGTAGCTATATATTAAGGTTACACGAAATATTTAATAGATTTTTCCATAGAACTTTCTTTTCAGAAAAAACTTTGCCCTTTAGTTTTCTCTGCCACTATAAATTATTTTAGATTGAATAGGAAAAGGACCACCAGTTGAACCAAATAGGAATTATCATTTATATGACCTCTTATTAGTACAAACAGGTGAAAAATAATTAATTTTCAGATTACAGGTTAATGATTTTTTTGCAACCAAATCAGTTTAAAAGTTTGCTATTATTTGTCGTCACAACTGCTCTCCTTCTATAATTTTATTTTACTTTTTTAATTAAATTTTTATTTCATAGCTCATGGCCTTTCAAAAGATTTAATTTGAAAAACAAATAATGATGTTATTATCAACTAATCTTAGGCAAAATACCATATTTGTTAAAATTTTGTCACTTCTTTACTTATTGTCTCACTTAGAAGCATTTTACGGTATGGGCAAAAGTAACTATTAAAGATGCTTTAACATTGATATTTTTATTGATTTCTAAAAAAAAAAATTTTTTTTTTAAATATAAATATTTAGAGAGAAAGGTGGGGTAATTCCGGGTGAGATAAGTTTTGAAGGCCTGTTTGACCAAAAATCTGTCTGATTTAACATTGTTTAGTTGCATACCATATATATCTTTCTCGAAATTTAGGTGTACTACTATACTACACTAGGTGTACTACTTTCTTTATAAATGATATTTTCTTCTAGAAAAATTCAAATTACCCGGTTTTACTCTATTAGTGAGGTAAAACCAGGTTCACATGCTAACTCTATGGGAAATTTTGAAGTACTAGAAATTCAGTAAATAAACAACGAATATTTCTATTTCATCTTACAATTTAAGAAGGAATGCATGTAATGTACATGTGATGCAGTTAAAGCTATTGTCAAGGGAGAAGAAAGAAAAGAGAGGGACAGTTGACCTAGAGTGGCTGAGGGCCCGGCCAAAGGTCTTTACAAAAAATATAGTGTTTATCAATGTGTTTTCAAAAGAAAATGGCAGAGAATTTTTTTATATCTATATAAAATTATTAATTTTATATAAGAGATCTTTAAACATTCTACTAAATAAAAAAATAAGGCCTTTTGCGTTATGAGGACAGGACCCCGGAATAAATTTTGTACTGAGGCCTGTAAAACCTTTGTCCAGTCTTGGATGTAATTGTCTTCTTCCTCCGCTGCACTGCAGCTTTCGTGGGCTGAGCTTGGTTGGGAGACATTAGGGGGAGAGGAGATATCCGGTCTTACCTCGAAAGCAGAGAATCTCGAAACGAACCGAACAGCAGTGCTGCTTATTGGGCAAAATTCTTATTCCTTATAAGGGTTTGAATCTTTAGTAAACGTATAATAATCAGGATAAGAAATAATTTTTACAGTTGTAATGATCAATTAATAAAAATAGTTTAAAACAAGAGAACATTATAGAATTGACAAAGTAAAACTACACAAGAGCAACAATAGCATGCCAATATGGTAGATCCTTCTTCTTGACTAGTTAGGTCAAATTCAGAGTTAATCCGCTAGAAAAAAAAACTAATTTCGAAAAAATCGAAGTACCTGTGGTTTCACCTTACTCTCACCTATAGGAAATAATTAAAAGTGAAACTAATAAGCTATCAATTTATTCAGGAGAAATATTACGTGCTTTAATATATGATTTCTGAGATAAAATATTTGTAAAAAAAAATTAGGAAATGAGTAAAATTGTAACCAATGAGCAAGTAAATTATTCAGGATAAATATTATTATGAAGAGAAATTATCAGAGAAATCTTATACACATTGTTATTTGTTATATATGTATTGTTATATATGCTTGCGCTGAGGTATCTCAGATGTTTTACTTTTGTTGGCAATAGAACAGTGCAATGACATAACAATTTAAAATGTAAAGAGAATGTTAAAAAATCATGTAATTTTTTGAAAAGCCTCTTTACATTTTAAACTATTACGTCTCTTCGGAAAACTATCTTTAACTTTCTTTTATGATCATATCTTGCTTAATCTTGGTTTTCTAAATCAGTTGTCTTTGTTGTTTTTCTAAATGCTATTATTGTGTTGTTTTTTTCTCAGATATAGTTGAATTAAAATAGACGTCCATTCAAAAAATTATTGAAAAAAATTTATTTTGCAAACAATTTGAAGTGATACAAAATATAAGTCTATTATAAAATGCTTTTTGGCATAAAACTATTTTTAACGAAGAGGCATTGGCACTTGTCCAACAGCTAAGTTAAGGGCATACTGGAATCTGTTCTGAACAACATTGATCACCTCTTGTGTCACCCGGCCCTTGTAGTTTTCTTCAAGAACTTTCATCTGTTTGTTAAGAGGACCTAATCCAGTAAAATGTGTATCTAATCTTCGAACTTGACGGACTTTGTATGACCTCAAAGTAGCTTTACTATCGTGCAAAGCTTTGGAAACTGAAACATCTACAATTGCATTGGAGGTGTTGCCATTAGCGTCAATGGTTACTTTAGGAAGAACTCCATACTTTACTCGTCCTTTGTAACTGGTTTGTAACATATTGAAGGATAGAGTGCAATTGATTACTGTGACAGAAGATATGTTGGTTGGTCCCTGGCATTCTGAAATCCTTATAACTTGAGACAATCCACTCAGAGAACCTTCGCTGTATTCAGCTTTCCCGTGAACTTTTGTAAAGAAGATTTTATCTGTATACTCAAAAGTGTAGTCAGGAAGATGCGTAGGATCCAACTTTTCACTTTTTATAACATTCTGAAGAGTTGTGTGAAGTACATTATCCATGTACTGGTTTCCAGATGGTGCAGCCAAGGCGCCACCTAAAATAGGAATTTTTAATATTTAAGCACAAAATAAATGTTTGTTGAGTAAGATAACATAAAAAACATACGCACAACAAGAATAAAAATAAGCTCAGAAATATTTATATTACGCACTTGCGAGTTTCCAAAAGAAAATATATTTAAAATTTAAAAAATCTTTGCGAATTAAACTTTCGGAAATGAGTATTTGCTGGTTAATTTTTTTTATTCAAATAATATTTTTTGGGACATTACAACCATCTTAAGTTGTAGTGGTAAAATAGCTGCACACACATCAGTATCGTATTCGAATCATCACTATGGATGGATTGTTATTTGTCTTCAACTGCCAAATAGTGTGACTCTAACACGACATTAATAATCAAATCAAATTAAATAATTGGCAAAAACTAATAAATAATATCCTAACACACAAACCAAATAACACGAAAAAACCGATTCGGTTTGGTAGTCACTAACCAAAGCAAAATCCATATTTAGATAAAAATAACAATTTGCAAATTGAAGTTATAAGTTAACACTGATCTTGATAAATCAACAATCTTTGCGCAACTTTCTTTTCAGTCTATTTAACATAGATTAGCAGTGCCTCTTTTCGACTTAATCAAACAAGTAAATTGCATTAGACGATTTGAATATGATTTCGTAATATTACGATAATTCGTTAGATTTAGAAAAATTTAATCTTTTTTTTCCCACTTAAGTATTGTTTTGTGACTGATAGTGTGCATGCTTTACAGAAGAAAATTTGGAGTTTGTCGTGCCATATTATCGTTCATATTTTCTGCAAAATGAACCATATTGTTATGCTTTTTGAACTTGATTACATAACATGGATACATAATATGAAGCATAATACAAAACTTAGGCAAAAACAAGGTTTATTTTAACAGTTTATTAAGGTTGCAGCAAACTTGTCCGATAATATGGTTTAATATCGAAATGATATTCCTGAGTGTTTAGTAAGTTTGTCTTTTTATTTCTACATTTTTGGACAAGACTTTTAAAAATTTATTATACAAAACATCCAATGTAAATAACACAATCCCCTAAATAACAGAAACATTGAATCAAGTAATATATAAATTTTCTTTTGTTTATATGAATAGCAACATAAATTCATAGAAAGAAAGATTTTTATCTCATAATTGCCAGCATAGTGAGTTACTCAAATTGTTTAAGGCAAAATAGAAAATACTTCGAGTTGTATAAATTTAAGACGATATGAAAAACTAATCACATTTTTAAATATCTTTTTACCGAAATCAAAAAATGAACTGAATGCATCACCTAAAATGTAGTGTATAAGGATATGACCCATACAACTGCGAAACCCAAAATTATTTTTCTTTTGCGTATTTTTTAATTCCTTTCTTTGGATACGTAATTCTAGTGCTTTTTCAACATAAAGAACACATTCTTCAAACTAAAATTATTCTTTCTGCACGGTAAATTTTACCAAAATATTGTAAAATTTACCATTTTCTGGCTCTATAAGAAAGCCAAAAAGCAAGGTAATTTTTTGATATTAACTTAAGGTAAAAATGACTATAAAATATCGTTTTATCACCATGCTGTTTGGAAGCATGCGTTAATTTTATCATGATAACTCAGAACATGGCATAAAAATCATTTATTTGGTTAAATTTACTTTACAATTTTGCGTTTTTACTAAATGTGTAATAAGACAAATAAGATCCAAAATATAGAAGACCAAAATTTCCGGTAAACCGTTTTAATACGAACGGAAAAATTACCAAATAAATAGTTTAAATATTATTTGGTCTTTTCTATATTTTGGCTTTATTACTACGGATATTTCAGTTTTATTATCAGAATTATGTTTTTGTTTTGTTTTTTACCAGAAATGTCATTGCTATACAAATATGGTAATTTTACCAGAATTGGTTTTCTACGTGTAATTTAACCTAAGAATTCGAAAACTTACTCATTTGTCCGAGCCCCTATATTGTTAAAACTAGAAATATATTTTACTTAAGTTTCATTACTTATTTAACAAATTGCCCATTGTAAAATCTTTCACTTCGTAAATTTTCATATTTTTCGCTTAAACAAAAAGATTGCTACAATATTATTAATGTGTTATAAAATAAAATTCAAATTAAGCTCTATATACTTAAGAAGATAAAATTTAATTTTTTATTACAGTCACAGTTATAACAATCATTTTTCACTAAACAATAATAAGTTATACACTTCAGTAAAACTTGTAAAAATTAGTAGATATAGTTTGAAAAAATGTGAGTTTATAAAAAAGTATAATGCGCTTATTTTTATGAAAAAATGTATTAAATTCATATTTAATCAAAACATATTAAATTGACTAACAAATGTATAAAGTTACATAAATTTTGCTTGAAAATTTGTGAAAATACTTTTCAGGCACTATCTTTTCATATTTTGTTTTAAAAGAAAATTAAATTTCTTGACAAAAGAGCTGCAACCAATTAATAGCCAGATTAAAAAAAAACAAATACTTGAACCCCAAGGTAGTGTTACACTGGTGCCTAAAAGTTAAATGTGGAAGAATGCGAATGAATAAAAGTCAAAATGTTCAAATTTACTTGTAGAGAATCACTGTTTGAAATATGCATTTACAAAACATTTCAGTCCATATCGGTATGTTCAAAAGATGGGCGCATGACAAAAAGAGTATAAAATCAAGAAACCGATTCACGTGCCTTACGGATATCAGATGCTAGGCGAAGGAGCTTGCTAAATAATCAAAATGACCGAAGGATGACACAAAAATGTTGAATGGACATGTTTTTGAAAAGGAGAAATATTAAAATGCTGGAATGTTGTCGATCCCAAACCAATTTTTTTTAATTTTATTTTATTTATTTATTTTTATTTATTATTATTATTATTTTTTTGAAATTCTGAATGATCCTCAGTATGTGATCTCAAGACAGTGACAGAGGCTTTAATCCAAGGGAGATATTACTCAACACTTAGTACAAGGTCAACCAAGAGTTCATGGAAGATAACGCGCCTAGTCACTATGCGATGGTGTGGACAACGACTTCCTCGAAAGAGAAAACATCCTGCGCCTTCAGTGGCCTGCTTACTCCCCTGATCTTAATTCTTTTGAAAATGTGTAGTATATACTTGGGAGACAAACTGCATTCCTTCCTCACCCATCAATTATGTTCCAGAATAGAAAGGAGCTTTCCGTAGTGCTTGGCACTCTTTAAGACTACAACTCTTCCACATTCTCACAACATATATGGGCAATTTGTGCGTGGCTACCAGATGTAACTATAGAATTTATTAAGCTACGAAATGATGCCTTAATGGAAATTGATTCACTAAAGTATAAACAATGAGTTAGCGTTGTTTTCTTTCAAATTGCTTATTTGGATAATAAAAGTTATTGATACCCTTATTTTGCAATATTTTCTCATATATATAACTTATAGATATAACAATATTACCCTCGCTTGTATAACGTTTCCCGCTATTCTTGCTCAGTGGAACATCAGTTATGCTCCTCTTTTGGACACCAAAAATGTTTAGTATGTTTTAGTACAATAAATAAGAAATTGCTTTATAGGACTATTTAGATTGAATAATGAAGTTTGAATTGAATTGTTAGTCACCTATATGGATTAGATATACAAGAGACCTAATGTACCAAGTTTCATTAAAAAGATTGCCAAGTAATGGATAAAAGATTGACCTATTAATTAAAACACATTTTTAATTACACCTAATTAAAAATAATTTGCTTGCGGTAAACTTTTAAGAAAAAAAATCAATTTAGAAAAAATATGATCTCAAATAAGGTTTAGAAAAATGCAACAGTAAATGCTTTCAAAAAGATGCGTTCACAGAACAAAATAAATAAATAAAAAATTAATTTTCATAAGATTTTATTAAAACACAAAGAGTTATTTTTTCAATATTTTTTTATTTTAAACTAAAACGTTGAAAATCATTTATGCTACATTTGTTTTAAACGTTATTTATGACCAAACATTTCAAAAATTAATATTATCTTTTTATCTGGTGTAATTACTCGTGTATTGATTAATAACACACTAAATTGTCAATAGCTTTTTAGTAAAACTTAGTAGTGCGGTAATTTGTGGGAGTATACCCGACATCTGTATAAAAATAAAATATTTAAAATATAAAAAATTTTCATTTTTTGCATTCTAAAGGTTCGTTGTTCCCTTTACTTACCATTTGGTAATTAATTTAGTTCATTTATTTGAAAATATATCAGCACTTTTACCGTGCGTTCCATTCTTCCGTATGGTGCCGAATGCTGGCTTGAAACTTGAACTTGAAACTTTTCAAAATAGATGCTTAAGAATAATACTAAAAATCTTCTGGCCCAATAGTATAACAAATAAAGACTTTGTAACAAAAGCTATTATCCCATCTGTTAGTGAAGAAATCTTAAAACGAAGATAGAAATGGCACGGCCATATACTAAGAACAGATACAAACAATCTTGTAAATGTTGCAAGCTCATGGGAGCCTAACAGAAAGAGAAAAAGAGGGAGCCAGATACTAACATGGCAAAGATGCACTAAAGAAGATTTTAGTACAGCAGGATTAACTGGATGCGAAGAAGCACGTTGCCTAACCAAGGACAGTTGTGTGTGTGGAGCAAAAATCTGTGCCAGTTCGGCACGAAGAGGATAAGTAAGTATATTTGCATTTTTCATTGGAACTGTATGTACTATAGTAACAAAATGACGACAATGAGTTAAATTCAGTAATCTCTAATTTTTGAATATTTAGTCTAGTTATTGTTATTCGTGTCAATTTGTTCATATTTGTAAAACACTTAAATAGGTTTGGAGTTCAGTTTTCTATTGATAAGGAATTATATTAATAATATAAAATTTTCTTTCATTTTTAATGTCGGGCATATTCACACTTAGTTTGAAAAATTCTCTCTGAACTTCTAACTCAGATTTTTGTTCAGGATAGAAGCGATATCCTTTACGGGTACTCAACCCCAATTCTCTCTATATCACCCAATGCACAAGGGAGAAATTTCCATGCACTTTCTTAAACTCAGAATTTAAATAGAAATTTTAGTTTCAAAAATATATAAATTATTAATTTCTTCTCACTTAACTTTTTTTTCCAAATTAAAACGCAAAAATACGATTTTCTGTTAATGTTTTCACAAACTAATGTGTAAAAAAGAAAATTAATTAAGATAGAGAAAGGCAGATGAAAAACATATAACCAACTTACCACAAACTAAAACGAGGCAAAATAATGACAACATATTTCTTCCCTTAGAAGTATCTAAAAAATAATGTTAGATTATATTTATATAAACCAAACTTCTTATTAAAATTAACTTCTTAAGATTTAAAAAAAAAAAAAAAAAAAAAAAAAAAAAAAAAAACTACTCTCTCAATTAAGTTATATTCTTATTAAATAAGACATAAGTGTAACACATTTTCGCTAATATTATCACAATATTAAAAGGATAAGACAAATCGTTCCATAAAAATAAAAGCAATTAACGAATCATTAAATTGAATATATTTTTGGGTTTTATACTTTATTATTATTGTATGTTGATCAAATTTAATTAAATTAATTAATTCTAATCATTAATTATAAAAATCAATTAATTGATCTCTTACCCTTTTTAACTCTGGAAGACTAGATTTGTCTGAAAGGTACAGAATCAATTTATATTATTTTTTTGCTTATTAAAACAAATAGTTCAAAGGTTTTTTTGATATCAAATGATAGTTCTTAGAAAAGTGATTAAGGTAAAATTATGAGAACTACCATCTGCTGATAGAAAAGAACATTTATAAAACAAGAGAGATAAAGAAATTGCAAGTAACGCGAATGCAATTTACTAACAGTAATTACCTTTAAGAAATATTTTTTATGAAATATATTTAAAATAATATTAAAAAATAATTTAATTTTTTTAAATTAGGTTATTTATATTCATCAAAATGTTATTTTTTAAAAAAAATTGAATATTTTATAACTAAATAATAATTTATAATTCCTATTTTTAACAAATGATAAATTATAATATATATTTTTATTTTAATGATAAACAAAATGTACGTAAATAATGTTAATTTCCTTCCGTTAGAGCAGAGGTCGCCAAAGTGGTCTATATAGACCCCCAGGTATCTATTTAACAGAAGCGGGGGTCGATCTGAGCCAGGGGGTCGATCCGAATCGGAAGGGTCGATTGGATGTCGAAGAAAAAACAGTTCTTAATATGCAAATCACACATACCTAATTGAGTAGGTAAAATGTGTGAATTTTTTTACAATTGACTTAATATCAGACATCATTTATAACAAACAAATGAAACGATTCCTATGTGTCTTCTATGCGAAAAAAGGAAATGACTACATGAAACCGTCAAGATTGAAAGATCATCGTGATAGGGTTCACTCAGATAAAAAAAATAAAGAGCTTGAATTTTTCAAAAAACTTAAAGAAAAATTCACATGTCAACCAATTATAAGAAGTCTTATAAAGCGGTCTACTGAAGTTGAAACTGAAGGAAGATCAATAGCTTCGTACAAGATTTCGCTTAATATTGCAAAGAAGGGGAAAACCACACGCTATCGCTGAAGAAATTGCTATGCCTGCAATTAACGACGTCATTCAGGATGTAATGAAAAAAAGACTGTTAATGTTTTAAAATCATTGCCATTAAGTGCAAATTCTGTAAAACTGCGTATTGACGAAATGGCTGAAGAAATAGAAAATACGGTAGTTTCAGAGCTAAAAAATTGCAAGTTCTCTATTCAACTTGATGAATCTGTTTTTGCTTTTCTTATGGTGAACGTTAGATATTTCAGTAAAATGAAATGACAAGTCATTGATAAATTTTTATTTGCTAAATATCTTGAAACTGATGGAAAAGAGAGACAATTTTTAGTTTTCAAGAATATTTAAATATATTATGATATTCCACTTGAAAATATAATAGCGGTAGTCACAGATGGGGCACCTGCTATGGTAGGACGTTACCGAGGTTTTACTACATTTCTCAAAGAAAAAGTGCCCGGTATACGCACTATTCATTGTGTGTTGCATAGAAACAACTTAGTAGCAAAATATCTGAGTCCAGAGTTACATAAAGCTTTACAGTTTTGTATTAAGTGTATCAATCAAATTAAAGCCCAACCTCTTAAATCAAGATTATTTTCCAAACTTTGTGAGGAAAACAACGAGTTATTTAACCAATTACTTCCGCACACCGAAGTTAGATGGTGGTCTAGAAGTGTATGCTTGCAAAGGCTTGTAGACCAAATGACTCCATGACCAAATTTCTCAGTGAAATAAACCCTGTTCTGAGTGATGTTCCTGAACCCTGTTCCTGTTCTCTCCAAAACAATAAGAACCGCATTTTTTATTTAACGGATTTATTTGGAAAATTTAATGATGTTCAAACAAAGCTGAATGGAAAAGATGTAACAATTATAGAAGTTCAAACAATACTGTTAGGCTTCCAAGTAAAATTAAATTTATTTAGATCTTCATTGCTACGTAAGGATTATCAGTATTTTTCAAATCTGCGACAGTTAGAAAAAAAAGAAGAAGACTTGGAAATATATACAGGTCATCTTCAAAAATTGAGCGATGATTTTAAACTGCGCTTTGTTGATTTGGAAAACATTGACATCCCTGATTGGATTATTGTGCCATTTTCTGCTCAAATTGAAAATATGGAGATCAACCTGCAAGATGAGCTTGCTGAATTATTTTAGGATCTTGAAGCAAAGACGTTTTTTAAAAATTTAACAATAGGCAAATTTTGGACAAATATAAATATAATGCAAAAATATGTAAAACTTTACGAAATAACTCAGCCATTTATGCTAGCATTTCCAAGTTCCTGTATGGTCGAAGCCGGTTTCAGTCACGTTAATTCAACATTAACTAAGCACAGAAATAAATTAATTGCGGAGTTTTGAGGGGATTTCAGATTAAAATTGACCAATTTTTAACCCAATATAGCGAACCTTGCAAAAAAACACCAAGCACACCCATCTCATTAATTACGAAGCAATAAATCTATAGTTACTTTACTTATTATTTCTACTTATTTATAACTAGCCGCCTAAGGCGGCCAGCTGTCCGCCACGCTAAAGGTTTTCACAAATTAAGTTTTTTAAAACACAGCAGGAGATCTGAAGATTAGTGGACAATTAAAGTGTTCCTGTCCTGCAATTTTGCCTTCATATCCAGTTCTGCTGCAGATGTGTTATAGCTCTTGAGGATGTTTGAAATTATATAGCTACAACGCTTAAGAAAAAAAAAACTAAAATGCTAAATACATGAAAAGAACACGAAAACGAATAAATTTTTTATGGTATCAATTTCTATTTCTATATAATTTTTTATGGTATCAAATTCTATTTCTATATCTGTTACGTCAAGCACTCAGGTATTATAATTTGATCTAGTTGTGCTTGTATAATTTTGATCTAGTTGCGCTTTCTACGTCATTTTGTTAACATCGTTTGGTTTGTTATTTAACATCGTTTGGTTTGTTATTTCTAAGTTAACTTTCAAAAAATTGGCTGGCATCAGCATTTTTATTCTTTAAGTTGTTTATTTTTTCTTTTGGAATTCGTTCCTTTTTAGCGAAATGTTTTTCAACCTAATCGAATTCTTTGCCGACTGTTCTCTGTATATATAAAGAAAATAAAGTAAATATTTTTAAAGTGTTGTGAAAAGAATTTTTAGTTGTACAAAGTACTACAATATCGCTATAAAAATTATCGTCTTCGCTTAAGAAAAAAAAAATAGAGCGTGGAAAGAAGAAGAAAAACTTATTATAACAATTATGAACAGCGACAAATATATCAAAGCGAAGCGTTCTATTTACGTATCGAATATGTTGCCACATTTTTAATACAAAAGTTAAACTTTTCTCCACTTTAATAAATGTAAACTAATGCGAACTTTACAATTAAATTATTAATTCCTTCGTATATTATTGGTTTAAGTTGTCGAAAATTAATATTTCAATTGTAAGGTTCGCATTAGCATACATTTATAAGAGTGGAGAAAAGTATATGCATTTTTAAATAGTTTTTTGAATATGGCTCATTGAAGACGAAAAAGCATAGATTTTCTTACAAAATGACTGATAACTAAAAAACTAATCCAAATTTTTGAAAAGGAAAAAAATACTTCTTCATTATGTCAAAACACAATTATGTGCCGAGTTTCGTGCCTGGGCGAGGCTTCTGTGGCGATATATTGTGATTACAGACAGACACACACACAGCCGCGTTTATTATTATGTATAGATTACTTATTATTTAATAAATATTAAGGTATTTAAACTTCAACATTAATATATTTTTCATAAAACTATTGTTACACAATGTACTATTACTTTAATAAATGTTTAAAATCATAAAATAAGTGTACAAACACAGTATCTAATAGAGTTTTATTTTAATTAACAGAAAATTACTCTTATGGGGTCGATGGAGATTTCGAAAAATTATATAGGGGTCGATGATCAAAAAAGTTTGGCGAACCCTGCGTTAGAGTAACCATTAAATTTTTTTTTTTTATAATGCTATTTTATATATAAAAAAAGTATTAGTACAATTAATTTAAATGAAAGATTAAAAAATATATATTATATGAAGACTGTTAAATGTTATAAAAATATTAATTTTTATATTTTTAAAAATGAAATACTATTACAAAATTGTCTCGAAAACATTTCATACATTAGTCATATTTTGTTAATGAAGCATTTGAAAATATTTTTTTAACACTGTTTCAATAAATATAGCTAAAATTAAAAATATAAAATGATATAATTTGTTAACATCTTTAAATTTTTTTTACTCTTCATTATTTGTTCTTAAATAATAGTTCATTGAAAACACATTATTATAAATTCATTAAAAAATATTTCAATATACGTTGCTACTATTTTTGTTTCTTCATTATATAAGTCAAATTGTTAAGTCATTAGTCAAATTGTATCCGTCAGTATATAACGTTTAAAAAAAATTTCCCATATACAAATAAATATATTTATAAAAAATCAGTTTCAATAATTTACACATAATTTCAATTTTTCGAACTTTAGTAGGGAAAAAATTTGCAGCAACCTTAATAAAGTGTTACAATTAACCTTGTTTTCGTTAAATTTAAGCCATATTATTCGTGCAACATATTTCAACTTTTTTTCAAAGCGAAATGCAATTCCTGCCAAAAGTAGCCAATTCAAGCAACGCATTACATAACATTACATACACATTTTTTTTCAAAACAAATTGTCTTCTGTGAGAAATATTGTCTCAAAATTTTGAAAAAAAAACTACTTAAATTGTCATTAATTTTAATAACTATTATAAATTTGATTTAATAAAACCATATTTGTGATTAAAAAAAACATTCTTTTTAAATTAAAACAAAAACATTCTCCCCCCATCTGTAAGGAAGAGAGAGACAAAGACAAGTTAACACGCTAGTTGCTGATTCATGCGATATCACATGTCAAAATTCTTCCCCACAGACAGTTTGTGTCAACAAGACAAACAGGTGCGCATTATCATCCAACTATTTTTGCAGAAAATATAAAGTTTTCTCATGATTATAATATATTGTTTATTAAAATATACTAACGTAAAATTTCAAAACTAAACTAATAACTAAAATAAGAAAATTTAACTTTGATTTTATCTTTATCGATTACCACTGCTTCATGATAGATATAGTATAACCAGCCACCTGCACTCGGCTGGCAATAAGCATGTTAACTTGGGCACCAGTTGTACTCTTGCGTTTCTTTATTTCTTTTCAATTTCAGTAGAAAACTAAATCTTCTTTTGCAGTATCCTAAACTTGCTCGTTAGTATTTTATTGCGCAATATTTGATTGAATTTCCTGCAGTGTGCCCTGCATCAGTGCAGCTTTTTATTGATTCGAAGAATATTCCCAGCAGAGAGAAGTACGAATAAGTACCTGCAATTACGAGAGAAGAATAAGTACTCAAAATTATGAGATTCCGTCAGATAAGCCAGTTGTCGATCATTCCAAGTTAAGTCAACCAGAAAAAATTGTTTCATTTTGTTTCTGGACCAATCAGAAAATGTTACTTGTATGTCGTAATTCTTTAAAGTAGTTAAATGGCAAGAACTCTAGTTTATCCTAATGCTTGATCGAGGAGTTCCCTTGTCTCCTGAATTGGGTTCAAAATCACAAGACTACGTAGTTGAATATTGATAGCCGTTAACTGAGAATTGGGTCGGCTGTCCAACACCGGTTATAAGATAAAAAAAAAAAAAGATCAACTCATTAATTTGATACTCAGCCGCGATGGCTCAGGGGTAAGAGTGTTCGCCTTTCAATGAGGTGAACTGGGTTCGAATCCCACCGATGGCTGGTCACGAATCCGTATCCGGCTTGGGCCGACCACAGTGCTGACGTGAAATATCCTAAGTGGTAGACGGATTATGGGTTAGAGTCCACTTGCCGTCAGGCTATCCATGGGAGGTATTCGTGGTCGTCCTCTCCATGTAACTCAAATTCGGGTTAGTTCCATCAAAAAGTTCTCCACGAAGGCCAACTTCTCCCAATACGTTATCCAGGAGTTCCCTTGTCTTCTGGATTGGTTTCAAAATTACAAGGCTACGGAGTTGAACATTAGTAGTCGTAAACCCAAAAATTGGGTCGGTTGCTCAACTACGGATATAAAATAATTTGATACTCAGCATACCTAGGCGTTGTACGGATTATATTTCATCACATGGGTGGCGTTCAATGTGTAACACTTTTCTTTTCGTTCTCTATCTTCTGTTAAATTAGCGAGTTCAAGAAATAAGTCACACTTGTTTTGTTTCTGAATCCTTATTTGCAGGGTCTGACATCATTCTAAATTTATAGACATGAGAGTATTTTCACAGCCATTTGAATTAGAACAGAAATTCTTTTCGTTGTAATCTTAATTGATGACAAGTTTGAATTTACTTACCTTTTCAGACATCTTTTCTCAAGGCTATCTCTTCTTAATGGATTTATGTAAAGTCAATAGAGCCAAATATGAAACAAAACTTATGTTTTATTTTATAAGTTTAATGTATGCCAAATTATTATAAACTTCAAGCCTATCTGTCCATATGTAAATATTCGAAGATCAGTTTAAATATGTTCTAAAAAAATTAAGAGTCTCTAGTTTAAGAGACAATTTACATATTCTAAGTTTTGGAAGTTAAAATATTTAAGCATACTACATTACGGAATAATGCTCTTATTAAAGGCTTCAATTTAAGTGTTGCAATATAACACAGGGCGTTCTGCTATCCCCTTTGATGAATATTTTTAGAATTCTTGTCAAAAATGAAGTGAAAAAATATACACTTTAGGGGTTGCAAATTAATATTTTTGAGACGATAAACCATCGAATCTTTCTCGAATCATCAGTGATGAATTGTAATGTAAAACATCGAAACCAGTTTAACTGTCTGATAAACCTCTCTCCTTTTCTTCTATTAATCAAACGAGTATTGATGTTTTTAGTCCCACTTTCGACAATATATATTTTTTTCTTCACATAAAAAATAATTTGTGATCCTCGATGGGCCTGACTTTTTAATTTTTCTTAGACAAGAAATCTATAAATAGATATTTAAGATGGTCATTATAACTGTAAATTTCTTGCAAAATAAGCACAAACCAAATCTTATTAAATAAAAAACATTAAGAAATAAAAATATTGATATGTTGTAGCAATGACACAACTATAATTGCAACAATAATAGAATTTGGTCTCTTATTTTGAAAAATAGTGAATTACGTTTCATTAGAATTTAAACTTGTGTTAGCAGATGAAGATACATGTGCCAGCCATTTTTACAAAACTTCGTGTAACTCTGTATGTGAGATATTGAAATTAAATCGACAGAGAAAAATTCATTTCACAAAATAAAATAATTTATGAATCTTACTATATTTTATGTACTACAGTCGGACCTCTATTTAACGAAGTTAATAAATCCCATAATAAGTTCGTTATATGGAAAATTCGTTTAATAGAAAATCACCTTTTGAAATATTTAAACGACACAAAACAGGTTTTAAATTCATAAACACAAGACATAATTAAAATAGCAATTGATACACCTTAATCTTGTAAAGTAGTATCTATTTATTTTATAAATCTTAACCATAAAAGAAACCTGTATGGAAAGCAAGAATAGGAACATAATCCAGTGTTACACTATCATGCTACATACACTTTCAACAAAAAAAAGGTTAATTTATGAGTAACATTATAGCTGCATTTATTATAAAAGTAATTTTAAATATATGTCACCACATGCAGTCTAAAGTTTAATTGATACTGATAAAGTCCGTTAATTTTGTATGAGTTTTTTGTTTGAAATGCAGACAAAAAGAGAAAGGGATTTTACTGCCCTCTCTAAAAGTTAAGTGGCTTCAAAAATCAATTCAAGATCATTTCCCCCATAAAATGCGCGAACAAGATTAAAATGTTCTGAAATATTTGGGGAAATAGGGAAAGTGGATCTCAAAAAAGTTGGTTAAATAGAAAATTCACTTTGCAATTCAGAAGTTATTTTACGAAGAAATTTCTTAAATGTTCTTGGTTCCTCAAAAAAATTTGCAAAATGGAGAATGGAAGTTTGTTAAATAGAAGTCCGACTGTATATACAATTACTGAATGGTTATTCATTTCAAATACAGATATGTCCATAAATCACACAGATTAAGCTCAACAAAAGCTTTAGTAAAAATTTTAAAAATACTTAGCTCCTTTTTAAAATAAAAAAAGAATAACAAATGGATGTGTTGGAAAAGAAATTTTATGATAACATAGGTTGAAAAGTATTAGAAAAAAAAATCATGTTCTATAACAGTTGAAGAAGGTGTGGTTTGTTTTAAGATCCTGAACATGCTAATTAATTTATGCAGATGACATTTTAAGTTACAAATATTGTTCAAATTTTGTCATTTAAAATTACTAACTTTAAAATAATGTAAAAATTTGTATGATTTACATCTCCAAATTTTTTCAATGATTAAGTTAAAAAATAAAAAAAAATTAACCATCAAAGATTATTTTTTTGTGGAATTATCTTTGGATTAATACATTTTATTACAGTGTGCAAAATGTTTCGATTTACTTAAAAATTTCTTAAGAAACAGGAAAATACACAAAAAAGGGAATATTAAGCTTGATCTCCTGCCTAAACTATTGGGATCATTTTTCCCAGATTATGACTACTCCACATATTTTCGAGGTCAAAAATTCAAATTGGTGAAAAAGTAAGAGATCTATATTCAGTAGAAGTATTTCTTTCTGTTGAATTTCATAACATTAAATATCCTCTGCATTAAAAAATTTAAGGTTATATTTAACCCATAAGATTGAATCTGAGTATATATGAAAATCCAAACACTGCATCAAAAGTTATTCAGGATGTTCTTTCTTTGTGCACTGTAAGTACAAACAAATTAGAGCATTGAAAAAAGAAAACTGAAGCTCACACATGAAGACAAGAAACAGAAAAATATATAATGAAGTCATTACTTATGGTATGAAAAGCTAAAAGAAAAATATATTATGAAGTCATTCCTTATGGTATGAAAAATGAAGTGCTAGTGGAAGAATGTTCCAAGTTCCAAAAAAAAAGAAGATTTCTCAGAGAAAGATTTTATTAAAATTTTCATTTGATTATAAGACATTTTATGATTTTGCTAAATTTTTAAATATCTCAGCCAATGAAGGTATTATATAATATATCCACTGTGTGGCAGAAAAATCTAATTGCAATTAAAACAAAAATATTCACATTAGAATACCTTTTTTTTGGCTGCATACTACGATGTCAAGAGTAACAAATGCTGTGCAGTTAGCAGTGTAAGTAGGTGTTTTGATTTGCTTAAAAAGAAAGATTCAATTTTGATTTTTTACATATTCAGACCTTTTCTTCAAAGTAGAATATTTTAAATATTTTTTCGTCACACAAAGAAAAACGGAAATTCATCAAAAAAGAAATATATTTAAAAGAAAATACGTTTTTGTATTTAATTTCACATTAAAAACCAACAATGATAAAGCATAAGTGGACACCTCACAATATACTACATAGTACATCAAAATCCAATTATCATATCAAAAATTATTCAGGTTAATTGGTTTTTACTTTGCAAACTGTAGATACCAGAATTGTACTAAACATATTCCTTCATTCAAAAACTTAACAAGCATGACATTATGCAATTGGAAACAAACACTAAAACGTTTTTCCTTGTTGAAAGAGATAGGGCCATTTCAATGCTGTTTAAAATTTTGCTCATTTATCTAGCCTTCCAACCATACAAAAGACCCAGAGAAACAATGAAGTAAAATAGAACAACTAAACTTTAAAGCTAATTTACTCAAATTCATTAGATTGTCTAGAACCTTCTTTCACCAAACTCATCAAAAGTTAGTTTAATACAAAATGTAAAGAAAATCAAATAGCTTAAATAAACATTTATTTCTGTACAAATGGATACAAATATAAAATTTATGAGTATATGAATTTATATATTTATGAAGAAGTAAAATAATGATTTGGATATTGTAAATATTCAGCTCTTTCTTGACACTCGCCATCAGAATTTCTAAATGCAGACTGTTTTAAGGGCCATGTACTTATCTTTGAATGAGTTGCCTAAAATGAAAAGAAACTAAATTTAGAAAATGTTAAATCCTTAACCCTAAAATTTATTATTTCAAAATATTAAATTAGTTACAAACAATATAATTTAGTTGAATATAAAATACAAAAATTACAGAAATAAGAACCTTTTAAATGTTTTCCCAAAAGAGAAAGTCTTACTGCACTTTCAGGATATAAAACAAATAGTTAGAAAAATTAAATGGGTGAAATGCAGACACCACTTTTATTCTAATTGGTTAGGAAAAAATCTTTAGAGATGTCACAGTAAAAATAAAGTATTGTCACTTCAAGATTTTAAATAAGGGCAAAACTGTTATTGACCAGATTTTTTCCACAACATTAAAAATTTATAGTATTTTATTTCAATTTTGTTGTTTTAAGCCTTTCTGATAATTTATAAAGTATTTACAAAACGTTTTAAATTGCGTGCAAACTAAAAAACATGTTGCAGAGGTGATACTCAGGACTAATTATTTAGGTATGGTATATTTTAGTTCTCAAGAATTAAAATAAAAATCACTTATTTTAAAAATTTTCAATATTTTAGTTTACTATATCTTAGCATTCAAATAAAGCTTTAAAATCCTTTTACAATTGTGTCATTTCATTTTCTACATTTTTATTTATTTAAAATTTAATTGTTCTTTTAATTTGCTTCACTTTTGTTTTGATAAAGTAGACCATAAGTAAAGATTCTGTAACACATATTTTATATTACATACATAACATTTTAATAAATATGACACAAATTTGAGACAATATTTTTGCCAGGGGAAAAAAAATTGCAATTTTAAATAACTTTAAAGTTATGTGAAATAGCATTGATTTAACTAAAATCAAAAACAGCCAATCAGTACTAATTTTGAATACTAAAAGCTTTCTAAAATAGCTATGATTTGTAACATAAATAATTAATACAAAAGAAGTATTTTTATTTTTTAAACACTTATTTTTAAATGTTATATTTTGAAATTTTCACAGTACCTATTTCTATTCAGATTTATTCAATAAAAATTTAAGCAAGGAAAATTAACTGTCAAATCTATTTTATAAATTTTGTTTAATAAAACAATTATTAATATGAATAAAAAATTCATAATTTTTTATACATAATTTGTAGACCGTAAAGATAAAAATAAGAGAAATAAAATTATGAAAAGTGGTGAAATATTGCTAAAAAAAACTTAAAAATAGTAAATGTTTTTAAAATGTTAAAAGTATAAATAAAAAAAAGTGGACAAATTTAAGAGAAGAGGGCAAATTAGAGAGTTATTAATTAAAGTAATCTAAGCAGTTTATTTTGTAGATATTATTAATTTTGCATTTGCATCAATTCATTTGGTAGACAAACCATAAAGGGTTGCTCATCAGTTACTTTTTGTTCAGGCATATCTTTTCTGCCTTAAAGTATCAAAATGAAACAAAAGAGAAATACTTAATAAAAAAAAAAGTTCTGAGGCTTCAAAAATATGCAAACATACATTCTTTTATTTTTATCTGTAGATTTTTGAAGCCAATGAATTTTTTTTTTTTTTTAATAAGTAATACCTTACTGTTTCAGTTTCTTGGTATTCATTTAACATGTGAACTAGTGTTTGATAATTTTTATTTTCCTTTTCTTCTAATAAATTTAGATAATGATTAATCTTAATTTGACTTTTCGTTTAAATATGCTATTTGTAACATCTAATGTGTAGATTTTAATGAACAAGATTTATTCACTTAGATCTGTTACTTATAGAATAAGGAAAAGGGAGGTTTATATGTAATCTGCAGGGAAAAAAAAAATTCCTGATTATTTAGAGAAACAATTCTAAAAATAATGCACACATCTATACCAGACATCAATTAATAAAACATGAAAATTATCAGGATAAAAAAAGCCAGTAAAATTTTAAAAGCACGAAGAATTATAAGTCATACATATCAATATCAATACAAAATCATTATCTTACCTGTATACTATATATTACATTATAAAGTTCAATGTCATACTCACATATTAATACACACACAAATCAAACTCCTTGACTAAAATAGTTCCCAACATTTTAATGAATTTCAAACACAAGACTGTTTATTATTAACCCCCAGCAAACTTTGAAAAAAATTTAATACTAACACCATTAGTTTAAGAAATAAACCAAAATCCTCAATGGAAATATAATTGCATCTAAAAAAAATATTCAATCTATATAGCAAATAAATTATAAATTTTTATAACGTTTCAATATTGGATTAAAAATTAAGAATTTTGATCAGGAATTTTTTAATAAAAATTATAACATCTACAAAAATAAAACATCGATAAAAAGGAAATAGTATTACAACTTCAATTTTTACAGATAGTTCTTTTTCAGGTTTTTAGAAAGGAATTTTCATTTTTCCTGAATTATTTTCGTGATTTAAGGATTTCAGGCTGAATTGTTTAAAGATTGCAAAGTAAAAGGGAAATTATTGAATTATTTGACAATTAAAAAAATATATTTGCGACATATTTTTGATAATATACTTTACTAAAAAAATAATAAATTATTGAAAAAAATAATTATCAAGAATGAATTTTTTTAAAACTTAAATAACAATCACTCAAAATAATTGTTTTGAGTTTAAACTTTCATAAATTTAATTGATTTAAAATTTTACGTATTACCCATAAGCATTCTTCTTTAGACTCAGATATGTTTTCCAAACCACCAGGCATGCTTTCACCACTGCTTTGTTTTCTATAGGAGTAAAAAAAAAAAAGATTTTATATATGTTTGTGTGTATAGATGTATATTAGGGATGTAACAAATACTTGGCCACTATTGGGTATTCGGCCCTTTTGCCGAATATTCGATTGGCTGAGTATTCAGCCAATTATTATTTGAAAAATTTATTTTCGACAAAGAATTTTTTGGGGGAAATTTTAATAAATTTAATAAAGAATAATATAAAATCATATTTTTTTACTATGCATTATCAATAATAGTTTTTGTGCAGCATACTTACCAAGTTCTAAAACTTCTTTATTTATGTTCTGCAAGACACATGGAAAAGTAGAACTTGTAGAATTGAAACTAGATTACTTTATACTGAAGCATGAGTTTTGTTTTGTGATGATTTTTTCGTTTAATTATATCCAGGGAAGTTAATTTCACCGTTTTTTAAACACTCTAAGCTTTAAAATTGAAAACTTTTTTTTCCATTTTTGCTTGTTTTTCTGTTGTAACTAAAGCGAAGCATGTTAACGGTGCATTTCTAATGGACTTTTTCTTTTATTGCTACTTTTTTCTTGTACAGTAAGTTAGATAACTAGCTAGTATCAGGATAACTGTGGTTCTCAACATTAATGTTATATATCAGAATTATGATCAATTTCTTAATTTTATTCTTTTTTGATTCTTTTTATTGACTTCTCTTTTTTACCAGGGTTATAACGACAGCATTTTTTAAAGAGTGTTTCTAATGAAGATTTTTCTTTTATGGTCACTTTTTCTAAAAACACGTCAATGTGAAAAAGTTAAATTAAGATTTTTTGTGCTATATCTTCGAATAAATAAAGAAGGTTTTTTGTTTTGGTTTTTATCTAGCTTTTTCTTTGTTAAAAAACTTATGATTTTATAGATGTTTTTATTATGATGCAGCAAATAAGAGGGTTTATATTACTCTTTAATCATCACTTTTTCATTGAAAATACATTTGAAAATAGAACTGTTTAGTTTTAAAATTTTCTTTCAAAAATTAAGATAATTTTTTCTTTTGTATATAATCTTTATTTTTAATAGGTATTTTTATGATAGCGCTGCATTTTTAAATGTGTTTCTGATAGATATATTATCTCTTTTAATGATTCATGGATAATTTTTTTCTGAAAAAAATTATTTCTAGCGTTGAAGTTATGTTTTAAGAATTAAGAGTATATTAATTTTTTATTTTTTTTTCAACTTTACAACTTTAGTTTTTTGTCTTTTTTTAATTGCTGTTGGTCATTTTTTCCCCTCAAATATTTCCATGTATCTTAATATCAATTTTTTTTGGTATCTTAAACATTTCCATTAAAGTTTTGTTTGTTTGTTTTTTTCTTGTTTATCCCATACCAATAATGCAGCTAAGTTTTGATTGTTTTTGAGCAATGACTCAACTTATTTCTTTACAAAAACTATTTATTAATGATTTATAATTTTTCTTGTTGATATTTGGTTGATTTTTTTGGCCGAATATTCGGTATTTGACCAAATTACTATTTGCTACATCCCTAATATATATATATACATAAATATATATATATACATAAATATATATATACATATACATAAATATATATATACATATACATAAATATATATATATATTAAAAATGTGAGTCATTAATTATGGACACACTACATAACAATAAAAGCTGACATTCTCATCAAGCATCTAAAACCAATAATAAAATACTATTACACATAATTGTATAATCAAAATGTTATTATACTTATTGCATTAACTTCTCAAATTTTTAAAAACTAACTAATAACTCTGGTACGGATTCTTCCATATCCATTGATGCAATGCAAAATAACAGAAGTGACAATTACAGTCTTTAGTAAACAACTTTTTGCAAATGAAATTTACCGGTTTTGCTTCGTTTCAGTAAATTATCTAAATGCTACTTTGGAGAATGATCCATAGGTTAAATATGCCTTTGAGGTTCCAACTAATAACAATTTACAAATAAGTATTTAACATAATGGTATCTTGCACTATAATAAATACCACTAACCACACATGGAACTACAGTAGAGAACCAATTAACCGGGATGCTCGGGACCATCGCTATCCCGGATGTCTGAATTTCCCGGTTTTCTGGATCCGCCAAAAGTGCCGTTAATTGATGTTTTATCAAACCCAAATTGCAAGGAAAAAGTTAAACATATTTAAAAATAGGGAAAAAACGAAAAGATCTTCTAAATTAAAAAAAATGGTAGAAAAATAACATTTAAAAGGATAAAAACATTTGCAAATTTAGACAGAAAAACAAGTTTAAAAAATACATAATTTGCAAATTTATTTTTTGATAATAATTAAAATCCCCAAATTAACTAATATAAAACAAAATCAATAATTAAAAAATGCAATATATATTTCGCACCTAATTATACTGGGGGGGGGGGGGGAAAAGAAAACTTAT